GGTAGCTGGCCTGTTCCGCCGCACATCTTTGACCGCCTCACCCATCCTCTGCGCCATCCTGCGCCAGCTCCACCTCATCTGGCAGGTCTATCTCACCGGGGAGCTCGGTCGCCTCCGGCCCACAAACTTCTTCGCCGACCAGCTGAGCGCTGGCTTGCCGCTCCTGCAGTGGCTCTATCCCGACACCCCCATCTTCTTCTATTGCCACTTCCCCGACCTGCTGCTCGCCCGTGGCCGCGACAACTTCCTCAAGCGCGCCTACCGCGTGCCCTTTGACCTTCTCGAGCAATGGTCCATGGGCTTCGCCGCCGTCATCGCCGTCAACTCATCCTTCACCAAGAAGGTTGCCGCCGACACCTGGCCCAGCCTGGCCAAGCGCAAGGACTTCAAGGTCCTCTACCCTTGTATCGAGCTTGACCCTAAGCCCCCGAAGCCCGCCGACGCCTCTCCCGAGACGGAAACCTCTGAGAAGAAGACCGAAGTAGCTACCGACGACGCCGTCTGGTCAGACGAGAACATCATCCTGAGCATCAATCGCTTCGAGCGCAAGAAAGATGTCGCCCTCGCCATCCGCGCCTTCGCAGGCCTTTCTCCTTCGGCCCGCAAGAACGTCCGCCTCGTCATCGCAGGCGGCTACGACCTCCGCTCTGCGGAGAACTACGAATACCACCGCGAGCTCGTCGCCCTTGCCAAGTCCCTCGGCCTAGAGTCGGTGACGGCCAAGAACGTCATCTCGGCCCTCGCCGTCTCTCCCCAGATCCCGGTGCTCTTCCTCTTATCCGTCCCCTCCGCGTTCAAAGACTCGCTCCTTCGCTCCGCTCGTCTGCTCGTCTACACCCCTGCCAACGAGCACTTTGGCATCGTGCCCCTCGAGGCCATGCGCGCCCGTGTGCCCGTCCTCGCCGCGAATACAGGCGGACCTGTGGAGACGGTCGTCGATGGCCAGACCGGCTGGCTCCGCGACCCCGAAGACGTCCAGGCCTGGACAACAGTGATGCAGTCCGTCCTCGCGCCCGGCGCCGACGCCGAGATGAAGCGCATGGGTGCCGCCGGCGCCGAGCGCGTCCGGGCCGAGTTTGGCCAGGAGAAGATGGCAGAGAGCCTCGAGGCGCTGCTGACTGGTGTCAAGGCCGTGCTCATGGTCGAGTACCGCGCCGCCATTTTCATCATCTGCGCCTGTGCTATCGTGCCCTTGTTCGGACGGATGATCCACTACAACTTTGCAAGGCCGGAACATGGTGGGCGGCCACGGCCCTGATGGCGAGTGGCGGGTGGTATATAATTCACATGGACATGGTGCATAATTTGAAGGACCCCAAATTACGGGAAAGAAACACCCGTCGTACTTGTGACTCGTGATGCGCTTCGTGTACCAAGACGAACATGCCGCCTAACTGAGACGTGTTCCCTGCGAAGACAACATTCACTTTTGTTCGTGGCAACGGCCTAGTGTAGGTAGTATGCCTTAATGCCATAGCTCTGCAACTGAAGCATGGGAGGAACCCCCAAGGAATAAACACACCTTTCAAACAATCCTTCCCGACTCCGGGAGAAGAGCAGGGCGGGGACGAGAAAACGTTTCGCGAACATGCATTGGTATCCTGCTCAGTGCACCTATAGCATATCCACCACAGGCAGACCCAGCGGCGCGGCGCCTACGCAGCGTAGCCGTTGGCGGCGAGCCACGCCTTGAGAGCGGCGGCGTCGCGCTGGCGGTAGGCGGCGCGGCCGCGGATCTTATCCTTGGCCGTCTCGAGGGTGCGGTTGAAGCCGGCCGTGTCCTTGCCGGCGAAGAAGGCGTCAATCTCGCTGATCTTGTCGGCGTCGGCAAACTTGGACAGGCTCGTGGAGACGAGGCGGTCGACGACGACGTTGTTGCCGGCCTTGACGACGCAGTCGTCCCAGTGGGCCTGGAGGTACTGCCACTGGGCCTCGCGGGCGGACGCGTTGGCGCCGAGGCCCGAGGCCAGCACGTGCATGTCGGACGAGGGCACCGACTCGGAGGCCGGCGCGGGCGGGGACCGGTTGAAGAGGAAGGGGAGGATCGTCTTCTTGACGAGCTCCGTGTCGCGGGCCGCGCTGATGGCGCTGAGGCAGACCTCCTTTCCGTCGATCGACTTTGTCGTGAACCACTCCTTCTTGAGCACCTCGACCGCCTTGACGGGGTCGTGCTTGACGGCCACGCGGAACACGGGCGTGCGCAGGGCCGGCGGGAGAGGGTTCGACTCGGGCGACTCGACATAGGCCTTCCATCGCTTGAGAGCCTCCTCGGTGACGCTGTCGCTTGTTAGCAGGGATGCATCACTTGAAACATCACGGGCACGTACCTAGCATGGCCGTTGACACCGGCGGTGAGGATAAGACGCTTGCGCAGCAGACCAGTGAGGTAGCTCTCGCCCTCGGGATAGTCCCAGCCGACCTTACTAACGGCTTCGTCGATCAGTTTGAGGGTGAAGGCCTCGAGGCCCTTCTTGATGACCTCGTCTTCGCCGAAAACAGACTTGACCGATGCGATGGAGTCAAGCACCTGGCTCCAGACCAGGTAGTTGTCCTCCTTGCTGAAGCCTTGGATGAACGAGAGGAGCGCAGCAGTGGTGCCGTTGCCCGAGAAGGCGAGATCACCAGCGGATCCGATGATGGCAATCTTGTCCTCGATGGACAGGCGGTCGAGCTGCTTGCCAAGCTGCAGCAGGCGCTCGGGCGGGTAGTTGACGCGGTAGAAGCCCGAGGCGCCAGAGTTGAGCTTGTAGAACTCGGAATCAATGTCAGTGATGGTGTCCTCCTTCTTCTGCAGCACAATCGAAATAATTCGCTGGGCGCCGATGAGGCGGTGGGCGTGAGAGGAAGCGAGCAGGGGGGTCTACAGCGGGTAGGAGGGCATCGCGAGTAGGAGGGAAAGCAGGAGCGTAGACGAGATGAGCCTGCGCCGGCGGGGACGGGCGGGGAGGGGGGCCGGGCGAAGAGGGGGGGGCGGAGGGGGAGGTAGGGG